ATTAACAAGAATACTCTTTTGATGCACATCCCCTTTCCTAGCAAAAAAAACACAGCATATGCTTCTTGAATTTTTTCAGTCCCATTATCACTCCTTACAACCTTAATTTTCTTACAAAATTGAGTAAGAACATATTCAAAGAAGGCAGAAATAACAAAAAACGCCTGAGTTTTTGCATGAACTAAGTATGTCCAAGTCACTCTAGTAGGGTCATCCAATATTGTCAGAAAATATGTAGCACCAGTAAGAGATGGTCTTTTGTATTTCCCCCAAAGATCAATGTGTATCAAATCAAAGGATGCAAGAGCATGGGAATCAGACAAAGGAAAGGGCAACTTGTGATGTTTACCAAACACACATGCTTCACAATTGAAATCTAAACTATTATTAATATTGCCAAAAGATGGAATTGATACATGCCTAAGTTTTCCTATAGAAGGATGACCTAATCTGGCATGAATCAAATCAATACTAGGTCTTACAGAACTTGTAAGAACATTATTAGCAGAGAAATTAACAGTATTCACAAAAGAAGAAATTGGAATAGAATTGAACCTATATAGACTTGAGACTCTTGTGCCTGCAACTTGCACTTTTTTAGTTGTAAGGTCCTGAAATGAACAAGAGTTTTGTTCAAATACAGCAACAAGACCATTTTGATCTAACAACTTTCCTACAGAAAGAAGATTGTGCTTGAATTCAAGAGTATATAAGACATTTTGAATCCTAACAGTTGGTGATAATTGTACCAAACCACTGTACTTAACAGACATAACAGTTCCATCAGGCAAAGAAACTCTAATAAGGGATTTCAATTGTTTAAGAGAAGAAAATAAAGCCAAATTAGAAGCCATATAGGCAGTAGCTCATGTGTCAATGATCCAACTAGATTTATCAAAGAATTTAGATAAACTAGTAGCATTGGAGGTAGAAATAGTACCAGCAAAGTTGATAGAAGCAGTCAACAATGGATTATCATCAGTACCATCAATCATAGAACCTGCATTTTTTGCATCATCTTTATCACCTCATTGTAAACTGCAGAAGCCATAACAGAATCAAAAGAACCAGCAGTAACACTTGACACTTAAGGATCTTGTCCAAAAATACCAGACTGATCATTCTGAGTCAAATAACTAGCAAAACGTGTGAAATTACCATTTCCACCAAAAGAACCAGCACCAGAAGTAGCTTAGAAGAAGCATCCTCAGGAATTCCTTTATTCCACCAAGGAGGAAAACCATATAGTTTAAAGCACTTATCAATACTATTCCCTTTCTTTTTGCAGTGTTGACAAACTGTATCTGGCTTGAACTTCTTGAAATCCTTTTTACCAGAAAAATTAGGTTTAGGAAACACCTTAACAGCCTGCAAAGCATTTACCTCAACTTCACCAGAAACACTAGCATTCAACTTATGATGTTGTTCAACCTGCTGTAAGGTATAGTAAGCCTTATGAACATGTGGCAAAGGATCTGCACCAAGAAGATTTGGCTTGACCTGATCATAATTTTTGTTCAATCTAGAAAGTAACTGCATTAACTTAATCCGCTGATCTTTCTCAAGTATCTTCTTCAATATGCCACAAGAACACTATGCCTTTGCACCACAAGTACAATCTGGAAAACCTTCAAGGATTTACAATTGATCCCAAACAGTCTTCAATTGACCATCATATTCAGCAATCGAGGAATTATCCTGTTAAATACTAGTCAAACTCTTATGAAAATAAAAGATTCAAAGCTGAAGTATGACAAAAACGTTCAGCTAATTCATTCCACAATTGATGCGAAGAATTCACAAACATGAACAATTCAACAATCACCTTATCCATGGAATTCAGAATCCATGACATCACCATATAATCATTGCAAAGCTATTTTTGATAATCTGAAGTCTCAATTTCTAGCATAGGCAATGATCCATCAATAAATTGTAGCTTATTTCGAGCGATTAACGCCATCTTCACTGCACGACTCCAATTGAGATAATTTGAGCCAGACAGAACATGTGTTCCAAGCTGCATACCAGGATGATCACCATTACTGAGGTAGTAAGGATCATTGAAGTTGATCGCATTTGTGCTCAATTGAGAATTAGACCAAACACCAGCCATTTGAAGATGAAATCAAGAAATTAGGTCAAGAAAATCAAGAATCAAAGAGAAAATGAAATCGAAATGAACGAACACTACAAGAAAATAACCTTTTCGTAGCGATTATTTTAACCTTTTGTATCGATTTTAATTGCAATAAAGAGCTTTCCCAACGAATGGCCATTCGATACAATATCCCCCGTTGCCTTAGCCTTTAGTAGTGGTTTTCAATATCGCTGGGATTGGCCACAATGATCTTTATAAGATTCGAACATGCAACCTCAAACTCTTATATTAAATGTTTCACCAATAAGTTATGACATATTTTTATATTCTATGTCAAACAATATTTATATATTTAGTGTTGAAAAGGCTTTTCGTATCGATTTTTAGGATTTCGTGGCGATTGTAAATGATACGATTTCTCAAAATTATATAAATGTGTAAAAATAGTGTGGATATGTATTATTATGTTTTCCGTAACGATTTTATATAGGAAAACCATGGCGATTGTAAAATGATACGACTTCCTTAATTATTTTACAAACATACTTACATATTGTAGCGAATGTACAATTGCTACGAAATAATCGCTACAAAAAGACATTTTTCTTGTAGTGGAAATCAAACAATTTAACAAATAACAATGAAGATATGAAGATCAGAAAAGAATGATTTACATAAAAATCGATCAAGAATCCAGGATTTTCAACTCTGTTACCATGATAAGAAGCTAAATTTCAGAATGGAAACGAGAGGAAGAAGATGAACTAAGAGAGAGAAAATAGAAATCAATTTTATTGAATCAGAAAATCTCATTACAATAGATTACAGTAGAGGTATTTATTACAGGGGAATAAAACAGAATAATGTAGCTGAGCTGGCAAGGACTCTAACAACCTTGCTGACTAGGCATAACAGCCTGAGATTATGTAAAACGCATGATCTCAATACATTCTTTAGAGGTTTATAATTTATTTGTTCGATATGGTTATATCTTGCAACATTAAACAAAAATATATACAACATATTTTATTATACTAGCTAGTAAACGGTAGATGTAAACACACGAGGTTCCTTAATTACGCTCTTCGTGTTTAAATAAATGAAACATTTTGACTTTTTACACTATTAATCTAATTAACTTTGACAAATATTTGTAATTAAAATACATAAAAATAAAAATAGTCTTGTGGGTAATTGTTGAAACCCTCTCAATGATTAGTTTATTAATATTCAATTGTTATAATTTTTACTCATTGATAATTAAAGATATTATCAGATAAAGTGATTTAAAACAAGGGGGTGTTATTATTTATTGTCATATATCATTAAATTGTATTTGTAAAAATTATAAAAAATTATACATTAGAAAAAATATACGTACAAAGAACTCTAACGATATCCCACTCAATAATGTTTTTCTTACGTATATTAAAGGTCAACAATTACTCAAATAAAACAATCATAATATAAGAGTATCAGACTAAATTAGATCAAAAAAAGTTCAGATTAGATAAGACTCTAGAAATTTAAAACTTGAACATCTTATTTCAAGCGAAAATAAGAAAGCCTTAGTTCTTTCAATATCTAGGATCTATCATTAAAAAGATCAAGGGGAATTGGATGGATGGATCTTTGTATATATTGGGTGGATGATAGGTCCGATGGTAAATGGGTGATGGATCAATCGAGTGACAAATGACTTAGAGGTTCGTCTGAATTTGACTGTTTCATCATCCATTTTATCCACTACCCGCCTTTCATTTATTTAAATCGGATTTTCACTCATTTGGTTAAGATTTTTTTAGAAAATAACACCACAAATTTCTCATAGAATGGAATAAATAACACCACACCATCTCAAATTTTTATTATAACACCACAAAAATCGAAAAAATAGATTTCACCACCACGTATCAGTTTCTTGGATGAAATTCGTTAATGGGGCCCACTCTAAATACGTATCAATAAGGAATTTGTTTTAAAAAAAAATAAACAAAAATTTAAAAAAAAATCCTAAACCCTTACCCAACCTAGCCTCACCACCAGAAACACCTGCCCAGCTGCCGACAACCTAAACCCAACTACCGGAGCCCCTTGATCCCACTAAAATTGTCGACTCCACCACTTTCCCCCTTCCCCGGCCCTTCTCTGAAAACTACCCTAGCCCCCCCCCCCCCACACACACACCGCACCAATCCACTAAAGGAAAGCAGCCCTTGTAATCACCTCATGCACCGCACCGCACCGATCCACGCAACCAATTCGCTCTCCCTTGCCATGCTCAGCAAACTCGCTCTCACTCTCTCCTTCCTTCAATCAGGAAATCTAGGTTTAGGATTTTTCGGCCGTTAGAATTTTGACCGTTGGGGTTTAAACGAAGATTTTTCAGTGGTGTCGTTTCAAGGTCAGCTCAGGTGGGTTTTTTTGGTGGCTGGGGGTGCCGATGGTGGGGATGGGATAGAAAGAAGGGTTGCTGGCGGAAGGTGTTAGGGTTGCCAGTGGTCGGCTGGGTTAGGGTTTAGATTTTTTTTGTAATTATTCTTTTTTTAAAACTAATGAATGAATGACACGTGTACATGATGAACCCCACTAAGTCACTAACGAATTTCATCCAAAAATCCGTGCGGTAAAATCCAATTTTTCTATTTTTTATGGTGTTATAATAAAAGTTTGAGATTTCGTGGTGTTATAATCCAATTTTTGAGAAACTTGTGGTGATATTTTCTTAAATTTTTTTATTTAAAGTTGGTGGACAGGTAAATGGATACTCATTTAAATTGCCATCCCTGGTACTATGTTTGCTCGAAGGATCAAGAGCAAATTAAATAGAATACATATTGATAAGTGCACCAAACTTAATTGCTATCGTTTTAACGCATATATAATTAGTACATTTATATTTCAAAACCAAGGGCCATTATTTCCCATTATAAGTTTATTAGACATTATTGTAACAGCTGTATGATGTAATGCAGCTTATTGAAGTCTTATTTTATTAGTACAGTGCTCCTTGGTTCGATCAAGTATAGATTAATCATATAATCAAATGACTATATGAGTAACCTACTTAATTTCTAGAGGATTTTCATTCTTTAAAAGCAGAGTTAGTACAATCAAAGCAGGCACCAAGATAAGCTAGTTTGTAGCCGTGGTCCTTGATTTCAGCAGCTGCTGCAGCACCGGTTACGCTGTCGTAGTAGCGACAAGCACTACCAGAGGCATCTAGTTTTTCTTCTATTTCACTCCACTCCCTCTTTTGGAGGACTTCAAGTAACCCAGCTTCAACGTACACCTATAGAAAAGTACTCAGTAGTTTTCAATTTTTAGCTTAAAATTATCAAAATCAACATGATAAACAAAATTTCGATTACTTTTCTGTTCACGGTTCTATCTAGATTACATTAGTTTCAAAATCATAAAGCCAGACCAAAAATTGCAAAACTACACTAAATGAGCCCTAAACAATTTTTTCTAAGTACTTAATTAATTGATTCTCTCTGTCCCTTGATGTTTGCCCCCTTTTTTTAGTTCATCCTTTTGATTTTGCTCAATTCTACTTTTTGTTGTAACCCCTTACTCTCACAATAAATCCATTGGACATGTTCGGCAAAATATAATTGTGAAGGTACCTGTTAGCTGTGTAGGTAACTGTTAGCTATGATAATAGATAATTTTGGTTTTAGTGTTTAGTAAAGTAATAAATAACTAATATTTTTTACAAAAATTATAGATTAAATTTTCTACGGCCACCTCTAACTTCAAAATATAATATTTATAACTTCTGATAAAAACTACCTCCACCACTGAAAGCTACTCAACCACTACATTGTCAAACATTAAATTTTTGTTTAGTAGTTATTTGACTTGGTTAAACCATCAAAAACTACCTAAAGGCTACAAAGCTAAAGGCAAACACACTAAACTCTACCACTTTGTTCTCTTATCAACTCTTTTCAACCAAGTACACCTATATATGGGAAAAAAAAGGGATGGAGGGAGTATTTGAATTTAAAAAGCATAATTAAAAACAGTACTTTATCATTAGGTTCTATTCTTTTACACTTATTTTCAGTTCAATACAGCCCAATTCAGCTCATTAGTTTACTCCAAATTATTACATTTTAGTTTAGCCCACCCTCACAAAGAACATGCTTTTTTTTAACCAACGGCAAAACATACCTTATGTTCAGCTGAGTTCTGGGACTTGTACCAAGCCAAGAGCCACCCAAGTTGAGGAACATCCTTATCATAGTAACCATATATCACCGCGGCCTTGCAGCCTGCAATCGCCGGGCCAGGGCCATACCCCGGAATCTTTGGAAAAGACGGAGCCCTGTGTACAAACGTACCACTACCATGCCCGCCAATAGTTATAGGAGGTTTCTCTATGAAATGTCCAAACCACTCTTGAGTTGTGTTAAGCATAATTTGCTGCCCCTTAAAATTCATCACAGTTCCTGCAACCGTAGCGAGCTGTCTTACCTTACCATTGTTCTTGTTCTCCAGCAAGGTTTGTGCCTCCTTCACCACCTCGTTGATTGCTGTCATCTCTTTGTCAGTAAACCGGGTTGCACCGTGCATTTGTTGCTCCGACGCCATTAGAGTAAAGGTTAGTTCGTTGTGCTTTGTCTATATGATCAACTAACTTTGGTGTCACTAATTGTACATACATATGTAATTATGTGTACATTGATAAAGTTGATCGAGGAAATGGTAAATATTATTTAGTGGCAAAATGCAAAAGAATAAGAATTCTAATTAGTGGAGAATAATAATAATTCATGTTCTATATATATTCTCTTTTTATCATGAAGCAATTTTATTCGTATGACGTTGAGTTTGAGAATACACGTGCATTCAGCATACTTGTTTAATAATTTTAACAACTTTATACTATATTAAAGAGAATTATATTCGATGAGTTATGTAAGTAGAAGAATCATTTGTTGAGTAGTGGTTTGACTGGGTCAAACTACTAAAAGCTACCTAAAACCTCCTCAAAAGCTAGCGCCGAACACGTATTTTGAGGTAGCTATTGAAAATTTAATCTATAGTTTTAAAAATAAAATGTTGATTTTTATATATAACAGCTAGTCAACCGCTACTTTACCGAACCCTCATATCTAAATTATTTATCTTCATAGCTTACAACTTGTTGACAGCTAATAGCTACATACACAGCTCACAATTATCTCAACGGCTACAATTACCTTCACAACTATATTTTGCCGAACATGCCCTATATCTTCTTGTTGTCATCAATAACTATATGCTAAAAGACATACCAACAATGACACGTATTATTTTCTGGTATATTCTGATGTTATTTTTTTTAAATAAATTCAATTAAAGAAACAAATCTTATTTACAAAAATTCAATAACCTTATAAAATATAATTGCTTAAAATAAAAAAGGTTTTACATATCTTTAACACAAATATTTATATTAGCTATAAAAAAAATTCTTAACATAACTTTACTCATTTTCTATATCAATTAATATGTAACATATCTTTCATAATCCTTTATTTTGCTCAAAATTTGTAAATTAAACTATATTTTTAAGAATTTATTTTGTTTATAAAAACTAATTATAAGGATAGTTTAATAATGGTTATTAAAGATTAGTGAGCATGGCACAAGAACTAACCTAGTTCACTATAGTTTAATCTAGCTATTGTGATTCTGATTGTTCTACGTAATTATAACAATAAGAATAATAATACACGTTCATGTTATGTGATATCAATTTGTATGGGATGGTAAGGTCGCTGATTTGGATTAGGTAACCGAGTCGGAGCCTTGCATTTGGATCATGATCAATACCAACCCATTGTCCATATCAGCCTACTTCGCCTGCCACCTTGAGACCTACTTTTAGTAACATGGACACTTACCTCACACCTGATAAGACAACTACGTGACAGTGTGGCGCCATCTTAGATTCATAAATGCCCAGGCATATTCCCTTATGAGACACAAACTTTTAACCTAAACATACTTAAACCACTTTTATATTCTTATGATCTTAACCACGGACTTTAGCATTGGAGCTGTTATCCTCAAACTAACTCCAAAGGTAGCTAACCTAAGTTGACTGTGCAAGTATCCATTTTGACAATAAACCAATACTGGCCCAAATATATACAAGTTACTGAAATACAAAACACCTGAGATAATTATGATAATATATAAGCGTAGTGATATAAATATTATAAGAATCATATAATATGTGATATTTATTATATAGTGATACTAAACAGTAAAAATTCTACAATGTCATTCTTTAAAAATGACACCACAATTTGCTGATGTGGCAAAATCTGATTGGGCCGTATTTTGTATTTTTATTATTAATTTGAATTATTTTTAATGTCTATAATGTATTAAATTGTATTCTTTTTTGTATTCTTTTTAATACATGTATTTTTTTTAGAAATACATATTTATAAATTATGAAAAACTTTTTTACAATAAAAATTAATTTTCGAATTTATAATTATAATTATAAATCATAAAATTAAATTCATTCATCATTTACGTCAAAATTTTTCATCATCGTTCATCATCGATCATCATCACTCATCATTGTTTATCGTTCATCGTTCATCATCACTCATCATCGTTGATCGTTCATCATCGCTCATCATCGTTCATCATCGCTCATCGTTCATCATTCATCATCGTTCATCCATCAATCATACCTTAGATTAGCCCCCCATTCCCGAATTCAATGTTAATTGTTGATAATTTCACATATCCCAGCTAAAATTGTGATAAAATTTCGAAAATAATTGTGTTTTTGCATTTTGTTTTTTGCACTTTTTGATTTTAGGTTTTCGTTCATACAAAAATCTCAACAACAATCGCATTTATAATTATTTGCAAATGACGAATTTTGGAATAGATGGTTCAAAAATATGATTTATGTGGACTCAAATTATGCAGTTTAGTCAAAGAACAAAGAGTGTCAAGTTTGTAGAAGATGAAGTTAGTCGCATGTTTTTAACTACCGCAACCCCTGTTTGATCTGTTAAATGTACTCAAGTTTTCTCGAAGTTGTTTGTGGGTTAGGTAATTACCTAAATTATCATTGGTCATGACATAAGAAAATACTCTTTTTTAAGTTATGGTATTAACCTTATTATATTATGGACTAGAAAGAAAATTAAATTATGATATACGTTTTCACTCTAACATAATATACTTATATTTTGTTAAATAAATATATAATATAGTTATATATTGTTAGAAAATTGATATTGTTCATAAGTATTTGTAAAGAAATAATTCCTCTTTAAATGGTTCGAAATTTGTTTTATGTGGACTCAAATTGTGCAATTTTGTCAAAGAACAAGGAGTATCAAGTTTGTAGACAATGAAGTGGTCGCATTCTATTTGATCCGATAAATGTAATTAGCTTTTCTCGAACTTGTTTGTGGATTAGGTAATGACTTAAACTAAGTTTGGTCAATACATAGGAAAACAATGTTTTTTTATACTGGTATGAACCTTATTATAATATGGAAGTGACAAAATATTAGATTATGATATACCTTCTCACACTATACTGTAATTTACCTATATATTGTTAGAAAATAAATACTCCATATGTTTCATAATAATTGCAAATGTGGTGATGGCTAAAAGTTTTTGAAAAATTATAGGGTTGTGGCTAGAAGGAGAATTATTAGATATAAAATATGGTTACTAGAGATATATTTAATTGTTAGTAAGAGAAAGAAATGTAGTAATTTAAAATAGTCTAAGTGGGGTTGATAGAAATAGAAAGTAATTATAGGTCATTACGAAATAAGAAAATATTGCAATTATTACCAAACGGATGATAACGGAAAGTTTTGCGAGTATTATGAAACAACGGGAGTAATGACTAAGCTTTAATGCTTGTTCAATTCATAGAGGTGTATATTAACTAAGCCGAGGATTACCTTGGGTATGTTCATGTTCATTTAACTTAGGCGAGTCCATGAACGATCCCAAAATTTTATATGGGAACATGAACAAGCTAAGCTTAAACCGAGCTTGAACCCGAGTAAGTTATTGATCGGCATTGTTCATTTATACTCGTACTTTTTTCACTAAATAATATTACAGATCACATATATTAATCTACATTAGCCCTACTCCAATCCAACTCCAACGGCAGACTAATTTTCAGATAAGATTTGTATGTAACATACGTTTTAATTTAACTAGTTACATAGATCACGTATATTTTTCTTACATTTTATTTTGAATAATGTAGATACATATACATATACATATACATATACATACATACATACATACATACATACATACATACATACATACATACATACATACATACATACATACATACATACATACATATATATATATATATATATATATATATATATATATATATATATATATATATATATACACCTATTTTGAAAAATTAGGTAGCATGATATTTCAAAGTACTAACCTTTAATTTAATAGTAATGGTAAAAACTACTGCTAAATTAAACAACCGTACATCTACACCAATTGCAAACAAATTGTAAACTCATCATTTTATTATGCATATGACTTAAATAGTTCTATGAGATAATTAATTCTCATGGTATTTTCTTTATGGCCTAAAACTTTTTTAGTAAAATGAAATTTAAATTTATTAGCTATAATGTATTATTTTTAATTTAACAAATCAGAATTTAGTTGTACTAATAAAGGTAATAACCTTTTCTATTATAGGTCATAACATAAGTTCAATTTTATTTTTATTTTTTTAATAACCCCCTCATAAAATTTGTTCTAAAACAAATCCCTTCATTTTCATTTTCCGTTTAAAAAAACCCTTCTATAAATTTGAAACTAAAAGCAGTATTTAATTGAAAATTTTTAAGCCATTTTTGAATTTTTTTGAGTTGAAGCCCTTATTGAATTTGTAAAATAAAATACCTAGAATTTCGTTAGTTTTCAGATTTAAACTTCAATATCTTTGACCAACTCCCAACCGACTCATTTATTCATTTACTCATCTCAATTTTTAATCTCAATATGCACCATCACAAAATTCTCGTTTAAAAAATTATATACTTATGTTTTTTCAGCTATAAATCATTTATTCGGAATTTAAGATAGCAAGTGATTTATTAGTGACATTTGAATAGATTTAATATAATAATATTTGATTTCCTAAATAAAATCAACAAACGTACACATACACAATTATATAAAATTAACAATTTAAATAGAAAAACAATTTTTAAATAAGACAACTCTGCAAATATATATAGGGAAAATATATGTAGTGTCTTTAATACATGTCAAAAGCAGAGCTACACAAACCGAGTTCAAGCAAGAAAAATAAAAAAAAAAACAAACAAAAATATTTATGCGGGATGTTCAATGTTGTTTAGATAAGTTGCAAAAGTCAAACCATAATAAGAAAGGACGCAAAAGGTAATTACAAATTAAGTCATTTAAACATATTATATCTTCTAATTATCTTAATCATTGAATTCTTCATGTCCAGACTGATACCCATCTTCAGGAATGCTGCGGCTGCTTGTTCCATCATTGTTATTGCCAATATCTTCACCAATTTTAAAAGACAGTCAGTTTTCATATAAGTTTTCATAGATCGCATTTCTTTGACATCGTTCTCCAAGTTTGACATTTGTGAACGAATTTGATTCACATTCTCCTCGGCTTCATTTTTTTCTTTTTCTGTCCAATTAAAA